AGGTTGCAGTGAGCCGAGATCACACCATTGCACTCCAGCCTGGGTAACAAGAGTGAAACTCCATCTCAAAAAAAACAAAACAAAACAAAACAAAAGAATAATGTTTGACTCAGACTGGGGAGAGGATAAAAAGTACTTCAACTTAATTTTTTAATTCATTATTCATTTTAAGTAAAAGCAAAAGATTGTTCAATTCGGTAGGAACACGCAGATACGTATTGTATGTTCTATATCATTCATAACTGTTTATAATAAGCAAAAAGAAAATAAGATAGTGCAACCCTAGATCAATTCCTAAAACTTTTGTTTTTAATTCCATATAACAGTTTCTCCCTCGAAATTTAAGAAGCTAGGGATCGGGCAAGGTGGCTCACACCCATAATCCCAGCACTTTGGGAGACTGAGGTGGGTGGATCACCTGAGGTCAGGAGTTTGAGACCAGCCTGGCCAACATGGCGAAACCCTATCTCTACTAAAATACAAAAATTAGCCGGATGCATGGTGGTGCGCATCTGTGGTCCCAGCAACTTGGGAGGCAGGAGGATTGCTTAAACCTGGGAGGTGGAGGTTGCAGTGAGCCAAGCTTTGCACTCTAGCTTTGCACTCTAGCCTGGGAAGCAAGAGCAAAACTCTGTCTCAAAGAAAAAAAAAAATTTAAGAAGCCAGGAAGAACACTGCAATAAAAAGAGGCAGAGCAGCAGGGAAAAGTCACAGAGTCACAGCTTACCTCCTATAGGAAAAAAAAATAGCCCTTCACTTAGATCTAAAATAACAGTAACTTAATAACACAAATTCTTTTTTCTTTGAGATAGGGTCTCTCATTATCTCCCTAGCTGTAATGCAGGGGTAGAAACACAGCTCACTGTAGCCTGTAACTCCTAGACTCAAGTGATCCTCCTGCCTCAGTCTCCCAAGTAGCTGGACCACAGGTGTGCACCATCATGCCCAGTTGTTTTTATTTTTTGTGGAGACATTGTCACCTTGGCGCCCAGGCTGATTTTGAACTCCTGGGCTCAAGGGATCCTCCTGCCTCAGCATCCCAAAGTATTGAGATTACAGGGGTGAGCTGCCATGCCCAGCCTCTCCCCTCCCTACTTTTGAGATAGGGTCTCTCCCACTGTTGCCCAGGCTGTGCTGCATTGGCATGATCTCAGCTCACTGCAACCTCCACCTCCTAGGCTCAAGAGATCCTCCCACCTCAGCCTCCCAAGTACCTAGGACTACAGGCACATGCCACCATGCCTGGCTGATTTTTGTATTATTTTGTAGAGACAGGGTTTCACCATGTGGCCAGGTTGGTCTCAAGCTCCTGAACTCAAGCAATCAGCCCGCCTCAGCCACACAAAGTGCTGGGATTATAGGCATGAGTCACAGCACCCACCCCCAACCCCTTCAGAGAGACTGGGTCTCCCCCCTATGTTGCCCAGAATGGAATGCAGGACTATTCACAGGCGTGATCATTGTGCACGACAGCCTTGAATTCCTGGCCTCAAGAGATAAAATTTTCTCAAGGCCAGGAGTTCAAGTTGCAATGAGCTATGATCACACTCTAACCTGGGCAACACAGTGAGACTCCATCTTTTCTTTTCTTTTTTTTTTTTTGTGACAGAGTTTTGCTGTGGTTACCCAGACTGGAGTGCAATGGCACGATCTCGGCTCACCGCAACCTCCGCTTCCTGGGTTCAAGCAATCCTCCTGCCTCAGCCTCCCGAGTAGCTGGGACTACAGGGGTGCACCACAATGCCCAGTTAATTTTTGTATTTTTAGTAGAGATGGGGTTTCACCTTGTTGACCAGGATGGTCTCGATCTCTTGACCTCGTGATCCACCCGCCTCGGCCTCCCAAAGTGCTAGGATTATAGGTGTGAGCCACTGTGCCCGGCCGAGACTCCATCTTTAAAAAATTTTTTTAAATAGACCGGGCACAGTGGCTCACACTGTCACCTCAGCATTTTGTGGGGCTGAGGCGGGAAGACTGCTTTAATCCAGGAATGCAAGACCAGCCTGAGGAAAACAGCGAGACCCCACCACTACAAAAAAATTTAAAACTTAGCCAGGCATGCTGGTGGACTCCTGTGGCACCAGCCATTCAAGAGGCTGAGGGAGGAAGACTTTTAAGGTGCAGGAGGTTGGGGCTGCAGTAAGCCATGATCACACAACTGAACTGCAGCCTGGGAGACAGAGCAAGACCCTGTTTCAAAAAAATTTAAAAATTAGAATAATAAACAATAGGCCAGGGCGATAGAGTGAGACTCTGCCTCAAAAAATAATAATAATAATAAATACATAAAAAGCAAAGTAGAGGCTGGGCCCAATGGCTCACACCTGTAATCCCAGCACTTTGTGAGGCCAAGGCAGACATATCACCTGAGGTCAGGAGTTCACGACCAGCCTGGCCAACATAGTGAAACCCCATCTCTACTAAAACTACAAAAATTAGCCAGCAGTTGGGCCGGGCGCAGTGGCTCACGCCTGTAATCCCAGCACTTTGAGGGGCCGAGGCAGGCAAATCACCTAAGGTCAGCAGTTCAAGACCAGCCTGGCCAACATGGTGAAATGCTGTCTCTGTAAAAATACAAAAACTACAGGTCAGGCACAGTGGCTCACGCCTGCAATCCCAGCACTTTGGGCGGCCATAGCAGGCAGATAGCCTGAGGTCGGGAGTTCGAGGCCAGCCTGACCAACATAGAGAAACCCTGTTCCCACTAAAAATACAAAATTAGCTGGGTGCTGTGGCACATGCCTGTAATGCCAGCTAGTCGGGAGGCTGAGGCAGAAGAATTGCTTGAACCTGGGAGGCAAAGACTGCAGTGAGCTAAGATTACGCTATTTCACTCCAGCCTGGGCAACAAGACTAAAAACGCCACCTAAAAAAAAAAAAACTGGCCAAGTGCCTGTAAACCCAGCACTTTGGAGGTGCCAACATGGTGAAACCCCATCTTACTAAAAAAATGCAATAATCAGCTGGGTGCAGTGGCTCACGCCTGTAATCCCAGCACTTTGGGAGGCCAAGGTGGGCAGATCACAAGGTCAGAAGATCAAGACCATCCTGGCCAACATGATGAAACCTCGTCTCTACTAAAAATACCAAAAAAAAAAAAATTAGCTCCTCAAGTGAGGAGAATCACTTGAACCAGGGAGTCAGAGGTTGCAGTGAACTGAGATTTCGCCACCGCACTCCATCCTGGCAACAGAAAGACTGTGTCTCAAAAAAAAAAAAGCAATAATTAGCCGGGCATGGTGGCAGGTGCCTGTAATCCCAGCTCCTCGGGAGGCTGAGGCAGGAGAATGGCTTAAACCTGGGAGGTGGAGGTTGCAGTGAGCTGAGATTGTGCCGCTGCACTCCAGCCTGGGGGACAAGAGTGAGACTTCGTTTCAAAAAAGAAAAAATTAGCCAGGCACCGTGGTGAGCCTATAATCCCAACTACTCTGGAGGCTGAGGCAGGAGAATCACTTGAACCCAGGAGGCGGAGATTACAGTGAGCTGAGATCAGGCCAACACACTCCAGACTGGGTGACAAGAGTGAGACACTGCCTCAAAAAAAAAAAAAAAAATTAGCCAGGAGTGGTGGTGCATGCCTGCAGTCTCAGCTACTTGGGAGGGTGAGGCAGGAGAATCACTTGAACCTGGGAGGTAGAGGTTGCCATGAGCCAAGATCACATCACTGCACTCCAGCCTGGGCCACAGAGTGAGACTTGGTCTCAAAATGAAATAGCAAAGTAGAATATTTAAAAACTAAACTATCCTACCTGGCCAGGTACGGTCCCTCATGCCTGCAATCTCAGCACTTTGGGAGGCCAAGGCAGGAGAATTGCTAGAGCCTTAGAATTTGACACCAGCCTGGGCAACATGGTGAAACCCGGTTTCTACTAAAAATATAAAAAGGAGCCAAGCATCCTGGTGCATGCCTGTAATCCCAGCTATTCAGGAGGCTGAAGCACAAGAATTACTAGAACCCAGGAGGCAGAGGTTGCAGTGAGCTAAGATCACTCCACTGCACTCCAGCCTGGGTGATGAGGCAGGGCTAGATCTTTTAAAAATCAAACTTAATTTTTTGAAAAATCCTCTGTAGGCTAGGCGCGGTGGCTCACACCTATAATCCCAGCACTTTGGGAGGCCGACACGGGTGGATCACAAGGTCAAGAGATTGAGACCATCCTGGTCAACATGGTGAAACCCCGTCTCTACTAAAAATACAAAAATTAGCTGGGCATGGTGGCGCACGCCTGTAGTCCCAGCTACTCAGGAGGCTGAGGCAGGAGAATTACTTGAACCCAGGAGGCGGAGGTTGCAGTAAGCCGAGATCGCGCCATTGCACTCCAGCCTGGGTAACAAGGGTGAAACTCCGTCTCAAAAAAAATGAATAAATAAAATAAAATAAAATAAAAAATCCTCTGTATCTCATCAAAATTATATACATAAATAAAATTTCTAATAAGTCACATCAGCCTGCAGGAATTCAGAACAAATGCTCACTAAATAAAAAATAGGCCAGGCATGGTGGCTCACACCTGAAATCCCAACACTTCTGGTGGACAACATGGGAGGATCTCTTGAAGCCAGGTGTTTGAGACTAGCCTTGGGCAACATAACAAGACCTTGTCTTTACCAAAAATTTTAAAATTAGCCAGACATAGTGGCATGTGCCTATGGTCCTACTCAGGAGGCTGAAGCAAGAGGATTCCTTGAGCCCCAGAGTTCGACGTTGCAGTGAGCTAAAATCGCACCACTGATTCCAGTGTGGACAAAGAGTGAGATCCTGCCTCTAAATACATACATTAAAAAACAGTCATGAAAGGGGGCCGGGCGAGGTGGCTCACGCCTGTAATCCCAGCACTTTGGGAGGCCAAGACAGAAGGATCACAAGGTCAGGAGTTCAAGACCAGAATGACCAACATGGTCAAACCCTGTCTCTCCTAAAAATATAAACATTAGGTGTGCTGCTGGGAGTTGCTCAGAGGTTGGCGGCACAGGGGTGAAGGCTAGCAGACGGAGCGATCATGTCGCACAAACAAATTTACTATTCGGACAAATACGACAACAAGGAGTTTGAGTATCAGCATGTCATGTCATGGTGCTCAAGGACATAGCCAAGCTGGTCCCTAAAACCCATTTGATGTCTGAATCTGAATGGAAAAATCTTGGTGGTCAGCAGAGTCAGGGATGGGTCCATTATATGATCCATGAACCAGAACCTCAATTCTTACTGTTCCGGTGCCCACTACCCAAGAAGCCCAAGAAATGAAGCTGGCAAGCCACTTTCCAGCCTCAGGCTTTACATAGCTGTCCTTACTTCCTAACATCTTTCTGATGACATTATTATGTTATCTTCTTGGTTCTCACTTTGATATTTAAAAGATGTTCAATACACTGTTTGAATGTGCTGGTAACTGCTTTGCTTCTTGAGTAGAGCCACCACCACCATAGCCCAGCCAGATGAGTGCTTTGTGGACCCAAAGCCTCAGCTGAGTGTGACCCCAAAAGCCACGGTGTGCTGTGTATCCAGAACACGCTTGGCAGATGAAGGAAGCATCTGAGATTAAGACCATGGCAGTTACAGGAATTATGAAACTTGTTATTGTTTTTTCCTGCCAGGTGTTGTGTGTATGATGACTTGTGGATTTATGTTTCAGTATACTGGAAACTTTCCACTTTATTGAAGAATCTGTTCATGTTATAAGACTTGATTAAAGAGGAAGTTTTTATAATCCCCCCCCAAAAAAAAATCTAAACATTAGCTAGGCATGGTGGTACGCACCTGTAATCCCAGCTACTCAAGAGACTGAGGCAGGAAAAATCACTTGAACCCGGGAGGCAGAGGTTGCAGTGAGCCAAGATCCCACCACTACACTCCAGCCTGGGTGACAGAGTGAGACTCCGTCTTCAAAAAAAACAAAAATAGTCATGAGAAAGTGTAAAACTTTTTTCTTTTGGGAGACAGGGTGTTTTTTCTAAATAATGAATGTCTATCTACAAAAAACTTCCCTTACAAACCAACCTTTCCTCAACCTCATCTCTTCATTTTTTCTTTCTTTATATTTTCCACACAACAATCAAATCCTCTACTGTCTTCCATGCCCTATAACCAAGGTTCTATCCAAACCAGGAAGCTGTATTTACTGTCTCAAAAATGTTTTTTAGTCCTTCAGTATCCCTGGCGTACTGTTACTATCAACTATTCTTTCTAAAAACCCAGTTGTCTCCGTTGTGACTGTACTTTTTTTTTTTTTTTTTTGAGACAGAATTTCTCTCTTGTTGCCCAGACTGGAGTGCAACAGTGCGATCTTGGCTCACCACAACTTCTGCCTCCCAGGTTCAAGGCATTCTCCTGTCTCAGCTTCCAGAGTAGCTGGGGTTACAGGCAAGCGCCACCACGCCCAGCTAATTTTGTATTTTTAGTAGAGAAGGGTTTTTCCATGTTGGTCAGGCTGGTCTAGAACTCCTGACGCCAGGTGATCTGCCCACCTTGGCCTCCCAAAGTGCTGGGATTACAGGCAGGAGCCACCACACCCAGCCACAGTTGTACTTTTAAGGTTCTCTTTTCCTGACAGTTCACTGTCAGTCCTTGGTAATCACTTTTACTCTCCCAAATGTGAACATTTATCTTCTCTAGCAAAAAAAATAGGCATGTGGTTCCCAGTTTTCCCCCTATGAAGCTTCAACTCTGACTTTACTCTGTAACTGTATCCTAAATTTCCAGTACAAAAATCTTTGCAGCATCAAAACCAACATGCCCAAAACAGTCTTTTTCTCTTCACTTGCTCTCCTTCCTCTACTACAACTGTACTAATATTTATTAATGGTATCACCACTAATGAGTGAGCACCCTAAGAATCATTTTTGATCATTCCCTTTTCTTTACCTAATATCCATTTCTGTCATTTCATCCTTCAAAATGCTCCCTTCTTTTTCTACTCCTTCCCTTTCTATTCCCACATCTTTATAGTAATAGCATCCTAAGTCCATCTCTAACCTCCCCTTTCAAGTCAATTCTTTCTTTTTGTTTTTTTTTTTTGAGACAGAGTTTCGCTCTTGTTACCCAGGCTGCAGTGCAATGGCGTGATCTCGGCTCACCGCAACCTCCACCTCCTGGGTTCAGGCAATTCTCCTGCCTCAGCCTCCCGAGTAGCTGAGACTACAGGCGCGTACCACCATGCCCAGCTAATTTTTGTATTTGTAGTAGAGACGGGGTTTCACCATGTTGACCAGGATGGTCTCGATCTCTTGACCTCGTGATTCACCCGCCTCAGCCTCCCAAAAGTGCTGGGATTAAAGGAGTGAGCCACCACGCCTGGCCTCAAGTCAATTCTATATAGTACCAATTTACTTTTCTGAAAATGCTCCTTTACTTTTCTGAATCTTTACTGTTTGGTGTCTGCCAGGGTTCTGCGAGATCATAATCCCCCTTTCGTGAGAAGTAAGCTACCACCAATCCACAGGGTTCCTCCTGCATCTGAGCAACTCGACAATATGTCTCACCACTGCAAAATGGTCCAGAGCTAGGTACCCCATCCAAGCCAAACCAGAGTTGGGTTTTTGTTTTATTGTTTTCTCCAAAGGAACATTAAATTGGGACTGAATTTACCTGCTTTTGAGACAGGAGATGGAAAATATCAGGAGCTGAGATACGGTCATCTTTCACCATAGGAGGTAACACAGTAGTTAAGAGTTTAATCACATCCCAGACTCTCATAAGACATCTATTTCTCTTAAAACTATAGTATCATAAGGATACTATAGTTTTTATGGATAAGCCATAAAATGAGAATGATATCTACCTCATAGATATAATAGGATGCTTAAATGAAATAACTGTCATAAAACATTTAGCACAGTATGTGGCACACAGTAAACACTCAAAAAGTTAGCTACTGATTGTTGGAACAAGTAGCAGAGTAAATCTGCAGGAAGAAAAGAATGAGAGCAAGCATGCAGACAAAAGCAGAAAAAACATTCACAAGACTATTTCAGTTCCCTTTCTGGGTCAAATACATTTCCATATTAGGATTCTTGGCTCCTGTATCCTAATAATAAAATGCCCTTTCTTTGCTTATTTGTTTCTTATAAAGGACCCTACCTTTTGTAATTATACACTACAGGCCAAGCACAGTGGCTCACACCTGTAATCACAGCACTTTGGGAGGCCGAGGCAGGCAGATCACCTGAGGTAAAGAGTTTGAGACCAGCCTGACCAACATGGAGAAATCCCGTCTCTACTAAAAATACAAAAATAAGTCAGGCGTGGTGGTGCATGCCTCTAATACGAGCTACTCAGGAGGCTGAGGCAGGAGAATCACTTGAGTCTGGGAGGTGGAGGTTGCAGTGAGCCAAGATCACACCATCGCTATTGCACCTGGGCAACAAGAGCAAAACTCAATCTCAAAAAAATAATTATACATACGTATATATACATATATATATACATAGGAGTGAGCCACCATGCCTGGCCTCAAGTCAATTCTATATAATTATACACTACAGTAATTTAGAAAAGGTTATGGCTCTGCCTCTTCTTTAAAAATCCTTGGCCGGGTATAATGGCTCATACAAGTAATCCCAGCACTTTGGGATACAGAGTGGGGAGGATCACATGAGGTGGGGAGTTCAAGACCAGCCTGAACAACATGGAGAAACCCTGTCTCTACTAAAAATACAAAATGAGCCAGTCCTAGTGGCACATGCCTGTAATCCCAGCTACTTGCCTGGGCAACAAGAGCAAAACTTGGTCTCAAAAAAAAAAAAAATGACAAAAAATTAGCCAGGGCCAGGCGCTATGGCTCACACCTGTAATCCCAGCACTTTGGAAGGCTGAGGTGGTCAGATCATGAGGTCAAGAGATCGAGACCATCTTGGCCAACATGGTGAAATCCCGTCTCCACTAAAAATACAAAAATTAGCTGGGCGTGGTGGCATGCAACTGTAGTTCCAGCTACTCGGGAAGCGGAGGCAGGAGAAATGCTTGAACCCGGGAGGTAGAAGTTGCAGTGACCCGAGATCGAGCCACTGCACTCCAGCCTGGCGCCTGGCGACAGGGCAAGACTGTTCAAAAAAAAAAAAAATTAGCCAGGCACAGTGGCAGGCATCTGTAATCCCAGCTACTCTAGAGGCTAAGGCAGTAGAATTGCTTGCACCCAGGAGGCAGAGGTTGCGGTGAGCCAAGATTGTGCCATTGCACTCCAGCCTGGGCAACAAGAGCAAAACCCATCTCAAATAAAAAAAAAATTAGCTCGGCATGGTGGCAGGCGCCTGTTAATCCCAGTTACTCTAGAGGGCAAGGCAGGAGAATTGCTTGAACCCAGAAGGTGGAGGCTGCAGTGAGCCAAGATCACACCATTGCACTTCAGCCTAGGCAACTTCATCTCAAAAAAAAAAAAAAAAAAAAAATCCCTAATGACCCCCACATTCCCACCAAATGATGCTGAAATAAAATGCCTCTCTTAAAAACTTTTCTTTCTTAAAGAGACAGGGTCAGCCGGGCGCAGTGAATCAAGCCTGTAATCCCAGCACTTTGGGAGGCCAAGGCAGGTGGATCACAAGGTCAAGAGATTGAGACCATCCTGGTCAACATGGTGAAACCCCATCTCTACTAAAAATACAAAAAATTAGCTGGGCATGGTGGCGCGTGCCTGTAATCCCAGCTACTCAGGATGTTGAGGCAGGAGAATTGCCTGAACCCAGGAGGCAGAGGTTGCAGTGAGCCGAGATCGTGCCTTTGCACTCCAGACTGGGTAACAAGAGCAAAACTCCATCTCAAAAAAAAAAAAAAAAGAGACAGGGTCTAATTCTGTCACCTGTAGTAGTATGCAATAGTGTGATTATGGCTCATTGCAACCTCAAACTCATGGGCTCAATAGATCCTTCTGCCTCAGCCTCCCACATAGTTAAGACTACAAGTACACCACCATATGCGGCTAATTTTTTTTTTCTATCTGTAGAGATAAGGTCTCCCTATGTTGCCCAGGCTGATCTCCAACTCGTGGCCTGATCTCCAACTCAGGCGTGATCCTCTCACCTTGGCCTCTTAAAGCACTAGGATTACAGGTGCAAGCCACTACACCCAGCATCTAATATACTTTTTTTTTTTTAAGACAGAGTTTCGCTCTTGTTGCCCAAGCTGGAGTGCAGTAGAAGAGTAGAAATGGAGTTTCGCCATGTTAGCCAAGCTGGTCTCAGAACTCCTGGGTTCAGGTGATTCACCTGCCTTAGCCTCTCAAAGTGCCGGGATTACAGGCATGATCCACCACGCCCGGCCCTAATACTTCTTTTAAGATGACTACCTTATTCACATGGACACTTTGACCATGTCCTTAGGAACAAAATAGTAGAAACAGGCAACAAGTGGCATCTGAGGCAAATGATGCTGGCATTCTGCCATTCCTTATTCATTATCTTCTCTATCTTAATACCCACCTTATTTTCTTAGCTTTTCCAGGCTTCAATCTATGGTGACACCCCCTGGAATAGCCTCTTCTCATTGTCAGTGTTTACTAATAAAGCATAGGTTCCATTGCCTAGTGACCTGTTCACCACAAACTGTTAACATCATACACAGAGAAAAAAGTCAAAGGGTTGCTCTAAAAAGACTTCACCAGGTCCTAAACTTTCTATGGTTGATTTCATGCTCCATTTTTAAAATCCCATTAGAATAACAGCTGTAATTCTGCTACACACAACCAAACATCCTGAGAACTATAAAAACATTGCTCTGGGACCAGGCACAGTGACTCACACCTGTAATCCCAGCACTTTGGGAGGCCAGTGTGGGAGGATGACGAGGTCAAGAGTTCAAGACCAGCCTGACCAATATGACGAGCCTAACCAATACAGTGAAACCCCATCTCTACTAAAAATACAAAAATTAGCCGGGTGTTATGGTGCATGCCTGTAATCCCAGCTACTCAGGAGGCTGAGGGAGGAGAATCACTTGAACCTGGAGGGCAGAGCTTGAGTGAGTTAAGACTACGCTATTGCACTCCAGCCTGGGCAATAAGAGCGAAACTCCATCTCAAAAACAAAAAAAAATTCCTCTGGCCAGGCACAGGTGCTCACATCTATAATCCCAATACTTTGGGAGGCTGAGGTAGGACTGCTTGAGCTCAGGAGTTCAAGACCAGCATGGTCAACACAGCAAGACCTCATTTCTAGTAAAAATCAGGCCAGGTGTGATAGCTCACACCTATAATCCCAGCACTTTGGGAGGCCAAGATAGGTAGATCACCTGAGGTCAGGAGTTCAAGACCAGACTGACCAACATGGTGAACCCCAACTCTACTAAAAGTACCAAAATTAGTTGGGTATGGTAGCGCATGTCTGTAGTCCCAGCTACTTGGGAAGCTGAGGCAGGTGAATGGTCTGAACCTGGGAGGCAGAAGTTGTAGTGAGCAGAGACTGCTCTACTTCACTCAAGCCCAGGCGACAGAGCGAGACTCTGTCACCCAATCAATCAATCAATCAATAAAATAATAAATTAGCTGGGTGTAGTGGTACAGACCTGTAAGCTGAGGCAGGAGGATTACCTGAGCCCAGGACTCAGGTAAAGCCCAGGTAAAGCTGCAGTGAGCCACTGCACTCCAGCCTAGGGAACAGAGCCAGACTGTCTCAAATTAATAAAAAGAATAAAAATAGCTCTGAGACTCAACACACTTATATAGGCCACTCAGCCATTATTTCTTTTTTTTTGAGACAAAGTCTCGTTCTGTCACCCAGGATAGAGTGCAATGGTGTGATCGATCTCAGCTCACTGCAACCTCTGCCTCCCAGGTCCAAGCAATTCTCCTGCCTTAGTCTGCCAAGTAGCTGGCATTATAGGTGCACACCACCACACCCACCTAATTTTTGTATTTTTAGTAGAGATGGGGTTTTGCCATATTGGCCAGGCTAGTCTCAAACTCCTGACCTCAGGTGATCTGCCCACTTTGGCCTCCCACAGTGCAGGCATTACAGGCAGGAGTCACAGAGCCAGGCCCATTATTTCTACTGATCAAAAATTGCCCACACAAAAACAAAAGCTTCTGCTCTTGCTATATGCCTAGATAAAGAAATTGAAATGTTTGTTTTCTACCTTCGATCTAATTCCATAATCAACACCAAAAGAAAAGAACTCGCTGGCCAGGCGCGGTGGCTCACGCCTGTAATCCCAGCACTTTGGGAGGCCGAGGCAGGTGGATCACGAGGTCAACAGATCGAGACCATCCTGGTTAACATGGTGAAACCCCGCCTCTACTAAAAATACAAAAAATTAGCTGGGCATGGTGGCGTGTGCCTGTAATTCCAGCTACTCAGGAGGCTGAGGCAGGAGAACTGCCTGCCTGATCCCAGGAGGCGGAAGTTGCGGTGAGCCGAGATGGCGGAAGTTGCGGTGAGCCGAGATGGCGCCATTGCACTCCAGCCTGGGTAACAAGAGCAAAACTCCGTCTCAAAAAAAAAAAAGAAAAGAACTTGCTATAACAAGAAGTCTTAAAATAAATAATAAATGAATAAATACAATAAAATTTAAAGAAAGGAACTATCACATTTTAAATGGCAGTACCTTTGCATAACTAATGAAAATAAAATCTGTCTCTCTGATATTTCCAGAAATCTAAAACGGGAAAATGTTTGTGGCCACAAAGGATAAACATACCTCCCTCATTTTGTTTTTTTTGTGAGAGAGTCTCTTACTCTTTGTCACCCAGGCTGGAGTCATGGTTCACTACAGTCTCAACCTCCCAGGCTCAGGCAATCCTCCTGTCTCAGCCTCCAGAGTAGCTGAGACTACAGGTGCAAGCCACCACACCCAACTAATTTTTTTTGGGGGGACAGAGTCTCACTCTGTCACCCAGGCTGGAATGCAATGGCGCAATCTCAGCTCACTGCAACCTCCACCTCCCTCCTTCAAGCGATTCTCCTGTCTTGGGCCCCAAAGTAGTCAGGGGCACACTGTACAACCAGTTAATTTTTTGTATTTGTAGCAGAGATGTGGTTTCACCATGTTGGCCAGGCTGGTATTGAACTCAAGACCTAATGTGAGCCACCTGCCTCAGCCTCCCGAAGTGCTGGGATTACAGGCATGAGCCACTGTGCCCAGCCCCAATTAATTTTTTTTATTTTTCTTTTACAGAATCAAGATCTCACTAAATTGACCAGGCTGGTTTCAAACTCTTGCACTCAAGCAATCCTCCTGCCTCGCCTTCCCAAAGTGTTGGGATTACAGGTGTGAGTCACTGGGCCTGGCCTACCTCCTTCATTTTTTTTTTCCTGAGATGGAGTCTTGCTCTGTCAACCAGGCTGGAGTGCAAGGGCTCAAACTCACCTTACTGCAACCTGCGCCTCCTGCGTTCAAGCAGTTCTTCTCCCTCAACCTCAAGTAGCTGGGATTACAGGCACGTCCCACCATGCCCAGCTAATTTTTGTGTTTTTAATACAGACGGGGTTTTACCATCTTGGCTAGGCTGGTCTCAAACTCCTGACCTTGTGATCCACCCACCTCAGCCTCCCAAAGTGCTGGGATTACAGGTATGAGTCACTGCGCCCGACATCTCCTTCACTCTTTTTTATTTTTTTTTTGAGATGGAGTCTTGCTCTATTGCCCAGGCTAGAGTACAGTGGTGCAATGTCGGCTCACTGCAACCTCCACCTCGTGGGTTCAAGCGATTCTCCTGCCTCAGCCCTCCTGGGATTACAGGCACCCACCACTGTGCCCCATTAATTTCTGAATTTTTAGTAAAGACAGGGTTTCACCATCTTGGCCACGCTGGTCTCGAACTCCAGACCTCATGATCCACCCACCTCGGCCTCCCAAAGTGCTGTGATTAAGGCATCAGCCACTGCACCCAGCCACGTCCTTCATTCTAAGAGGTTTACAAAAGCTCTGAAATAAGGTAACCAGCCAAAGTTAACTTTTTTCAGAAAAAAAAAAAATTTTTATGTTGGTTTGCCAAACGAACTGAATGCCTAAAATCAGTGTGTTCAAAGTTAAACTATACATCCAAAGATGTAGTAAAAAGAATATGACAGTCACTAAAATTCTTGTTTTGTTCCCCCATTAAACAAAACCTAACAGAATTATAAATGTAACTTCCTTATGATTCTATTGCCATTATATTTTAACTTTGATTAGCCAGTGTAACCTTCAAACTTTTTGAGGCTTTCTTGATTCTGTAACTAGTTAATAAAGCCCAAATATGACCATGTATTTTTATGCTTTCAAAGTATCCAAAATACACTCACTTGATTCCATTTCTTTTTCAATTTTACAAAATCTGTTTAATACTACAAGTCAATATTTGGCCTAAATTCTCTTTTACATTATCACATTTGAACAAACGACTGACAGCTCCGAAAACTACAACGTAAGTGCAGTTCCTAAGTTCCTAAGCTACTCACTGAAGTTTAATGTTTTTGATAAATAGTTCTTACCACTCTGGCTGCTCTCTCCTGAGATTCACATTTCCTGCAAAACCATGGTCCAGTGGGTACTTGAACAATGCCATAGCAAGCTGTTGAAAAATGAAATGTGTTAAAATGTTAAGATTCAAAGAACGATGGAAAAATCAAATACCTTTTCAAAGCCCTATTAATCTACCTGTCACTATTCAAGTAAACTACCTCTTTGCAGAGAAGTAAAACATTTTATATCCCATTTATCACATATATAGCATATTTAATTAAAAAGTAAAAATTTGGGGCCGGGCATGGTGGCTCACGCCTATAATCCCAGCACTTTGGGAGGCCGAGGAGAGTGGATCACAAGGTCAGGAGATCGAGACCATCCTGGTCAACATGGTGAAACCCCGTCTCTACTAAAAATACAAAAATTAGCTGGGCATGGTGGTGCACGCCTGTAGTCCCAGCTACTCGGGAGGCTGAGGCAGGAGAATTGCTTGAACCAGGAGGCAGAGACTGCAGTGAGCCGAGATCGTGCCATTGCACTCCAGTCTGGGTAACAAGAGCGAAACTCCGTCTCAAAAAAAAAAGTAAAAATTTTAAGGCCAGGAGCAATGGTTTACACCCAGCTCTTTGGGAGGCTGAGGAGGGCAGATCACAAGGTCAGGACTTCAAGACAAGCCTGACAAACATGGTAAAAACCCATCTCTACTAAAAATACAAAAATTAGGTGGGCATGGTGGCATACACCTGTAATGCCAGCTACTGGAGAGGTTGAGGCAGGAGAATTGCTTGACCCCCACCAACTAAAAATAAAAAAGGTAAAAATTTTAAATGCAACTCTTTTGTTACCTCATCTAAATACATCAAGGCTGGGTTCGGTGGTTTGTGCCTGTAATCCCAGCATTTGGGGAGGTCAAGGTGGGAGGGCTGCTTGAGCCTAAAAGTTCTAGAACAGTCTGGGCAATATAGTGAGACTCCACAAAGCATTTTCTTTTTTAATTAGATGGAGCATGGTGGCTCACGCCTGTAATCCCAGCACTTTGGGAGGCCATGGTAGGCAGATCCCCTAAGGTCAGGAGTTCAACTCCAGCCCGACCAACATGGAGAAACCCCATTTGTACTAAAAATGCAAAATTAGCTGGGCGTGGTGTTATCCTATTACTCGGGAAGCTGAGGCAGGAGAATCCCTTGAACCTAGGAGGAGGAGGGTGCAGTGAGCCGAGATCGAGCCACTGCACTCCAGTCTGGGCAACAAGAATGAAATTGCATCTCAAATGAAAAAAAAAAAAGGCCAGCCATGGTGGCTCACACCTATAAACCCAACACTTTGGGAGGCTGAGGCAGATGGATCACCTGAGGTCGGGAGTTAGAGATCAGCCTGGCTAACCTATGCATGGTGGTGGGTGCCTATAATCCCAGCTACTCAGGATGTTGAGACAGGGGAATCACTGGAATCCAGGAGTGGGAGGTTGCAATGAGCTGAGATCATGCCAGTGCACTCCAGCCTGGGTGACAGAGCGAGACTCCATTCTCAAAAAATAAAACCTTAACTGGGCATGGTGGCATGTGCCTATAGTCCCAACTACTCAGGAGGCTGAGATAGGAGGATCACTTGACACTGGGAAATCAAAGCTGCAGTGAGCCATAAACACACCACTGCACTCCAGCCTGGGCAACAGGGTAAGATCCTGTCTCAAAAACAAAAATGTGTATTTCTAAATACATAATGATGTGCCAGGCACAGTGGCTCAAACCTATAATCCCAGCACTTTGGGAGGCTGAGGCAGGTGGATCACAAGGTCAAGAGATCGAGACCATCTTGGTCAACATGGTGAAACCCCGTCTCTACTAAAAATACAAAAATTAGCTGAGCATGGTGGCACGCGCCTGTAGTCCCAGCTACTTGGGAGGCTGAGGCAGGAGAATTGCTTGAACCCAAGAGGTGGAGGTTGCAGTGAGCCGAAATCGTGCCATTGCACTCCAGTCTGGGTAACAAGAGCGAAACTCCATCTCAAAAAAAAAAAATACATAATGATGTGAATGCTCCAAATGATCTAAGTATACATCACATGTCTAATCACAGTCTTGTTTTAAAATTGGTTTTTAGGCCACGCGCCGTGGCTCACGCCTATAATCCCAGCACTTTGGAAGGCCGAGGCGGGTGGATCATAAGGTCAAGAGATCGAGACCATCCTGGTCAACAAAGTGAAACCCTGTCTCTACTAAAAATATAAAAATTAGCTGGGCATGGTGGTGCACGCCTGTAGTCCCAGCTACTGGGGAGGCTGAGGCAGGAGAATTGCTTGAACCCAGAAGGCAGAGGTTGCGGTGAGCCGAGATCGTGCCATTGCACTCCAATCTGGGTAACAACAAAACTCCATCTCAAAAAAATAAAATAAAATTGGTTTTTAAAGTTAATAATTAGCTCAAACAGAAAATTTTCCAAAACTCTAAAAACACTATTAACCAATAGACTTTCACATGAGCTTGCTAGGCAGAAATCTGAAAATGTCTTAAATAGTGCAAAGTCTTTAAAGAATATAAATTCAGGTCAAATGCAGTGGCTCAAGCCTGTAATCCCAGCACTTTGCGAGGCCAAGACTGGCGAAATCACCTGAGGTCTGGAGTTCTAGACCAGCTTTACCAAATTAGAGAAACCCCATCTCTACTAAAAATACAAAATTAGCCAGATATGGTGGCACATGCCTGTATTCCCAGCTACTCGGGAGGCTGAGGCAAGAGAATCTCGTGAACCCAGGAGGTGGAGGTGGAAGTTTCAGTGAGCCAAGAGAGCACCCTTCCAGCCTAGGAAACAAGACGGAAACTCTGTCTCAAAAAAAAAAAAAAGTTCGAGACCAGCCTGGGCAACATGGTGAAACCCCATCTCTACCAAAAATACAAAATTAGCCGACATGGTTGTCCAGGCCTGTAGTCTTAGCTACTTGGGAGGCTGAAGCAGGAAGATAACTTGGGAGGTAAAGGCTGCAGTGAGCTGTAATAGCAGCCTGCAAGCCAGCATGAGACACAAAGTTCAGACCCTGTTTCAAAAAAAAAAAGAAAAAAGCCGGGCACGGTGGCTCACGCCTATAATCCCAGCACTCTGGGAGGCTGAGGAGGGTGAATCATGAGGTCAAAGGTTGAATATACCAGCCTGACCAACATGGTGAAACCCCATCTCTACTTAAAAATACAAAAATTAGGCAGGGCGCAGTGGCTCACGCCTGTAATCCCAGCACTTTGGGAGGCCAAGATGGGTGGATCATGAGGTCAGGAGTTCAAGACCAGCCTGGCCAAGATGGTGAAACCTCATCTTTATTTAAAAAAAAAAAAAATTTTTAGCTGGGCATGGTGGCCTGCACCTGTAATCCCAGCTACTTGGGGAGCTGAGGCAGGAGAATTGCTTGAATCCAAGAGGCGGAGATTGTGGTGAGCCAAGAGCACACCATTGCACTCCAGACTAGGCGACAGATCGAGACTCTATCACAAAAAGAAACAGGAAAAAAAGAGAATTTGTAAAATGCATCTGAGTATAAATGTTCTATCAGTCAAAAAACAAGGCATAGGTATCCAAAACACAGCATCAGTGCCCAAAAACTTGTATTTTTATTCAGGTGTACTTCTAGGAAGGAAAATTTAAGATTCAAATGAAAATTTTCTATATTGGGATATAGAAATTATTATCAAACTTTGATAGTTATCATCCAATTCATAAGAAATAGCCTTCAAAATGCCAATGAACACAGTAACGGAAATATATTAACCTATGACCTTAAAATCAGTATCTGGTTTTGACACGCATTAATGTCTGTAATCCAGTACTTTGGGAGGCCGAGGCAGGAGGATCACCTGAGGGCAGGAGTTCGAGACCAGCCTGGCCAACATGGCAAAATTCCGTCTCTGCTAAAAAATACAAGAAATTAGCCGGGTTTGCTAGGGTGCGCCTGTTATCCCAGCTACTCCAGAACCTGAAGCAGAAGAATTGCTTGAACCCAGGAGGCGAAGGTTGCAGTGAGCCCAGATCATGCCACCGCACTACACAGCCTGGGTGGCAGAGCAAAACTCTATCTAGAAAAAATAAAAGTAAAAGGCCGGGCACGGTGGCTCAAGCCTGTAATCCCAGCACTTTGGGAGGCCGAGGCGGGTGGATCATGAGGTCAAGAGATCGAGACCATCCTTGTCAACAAGGTGAAACCCCATCTCTACTAAAGATAGAAAAAATTAGCTGGGCACGGTAGCGCGTGCCTGTAATCCCAGCTACTCAGGAGGCTGAGGCAGGAGAATTGCCTGAACCCAGGAGGCGGAGGTTGCGGTGAGCCGAGATCGCGCCATTGCACTCCAGCCTGGATAACAAAAAAAGTAAAAACAAAAATGTCTGGGAATTACAGCATTCTCAGGGTAAGTTAGTTCACTACCTCAGAATCATCACCAGTGCATTTAAGTCTCCCTTCCCAAGTGTGACATTACTTTTCTCTATAAAACGCACTTTAGCACATATTCAAATTTTTCTGCCTCCCCTTTGGTGGTAGTCCTTTCCAATAGACTACTAAAAACATCTGCATCACAATGCCAGACTCAGAAATGAGAAGGGACGTGGGATGCTCAATAAATATAAATATGGAGCCACCAAAAAAGAATGTAGACTGTTTTGGTCTGGATTTCTTACCACGTGATATGGGGAAAAGTCGGCCACTTCAAAGGCCCGAAAAGTATCTTACTAGTTTCTTCAATCTTCTTGTATATCCAAAAAACTCAGCAATTATTAACAACCAGAAATAAACTAAGAGGCTCACCAACAGTCACTTGGCACGGCCACCTTTTCCCTTCAGCCCCTAGGCTGTTGGTGGCCTGCTGCGGCCACTTCACAGGCGCTGCAGCAGCCCTGCCACTCCCGCATGGGCAGGAGCGTCCTCTGCCATCTCCACCCTAGGCAGCTCCCGGGAGGCAGTGGCAGGATCCGAGACTTCAGCAGGCCCCGCATTGCCCCCCCCATCTAAAGAGGCCAGGGGACCATGGGCCTCCCCGCCCTCCCCCTCGCAGCGCCGCGTTCCCGAGCCTGTCTCCACACCACAGGAAGTCTCCAAACACTGCGGCAGACAGGCGGAGGCAGGCCAGGGGAGAGGAGGGCGCTCCATGCTCCCAAACCCACACCCCACGGCCCCGGGACCCCGGGAGGGGCGCGCGGCACCCCCGCCCCCACCCGGCCCGGATCCGGGGACTCGGCCGCCGCCCCGCCCCGCAGAGTCAGCAGACCCCGGCCCCGGGCGCAGGCGGCGGCCGACTGACACTTGAGAGAGTGAGAGCGGAATCACATGACAGTCCGGGCCACACGCACTTTCTCCCACATGCACGGCCCACACCCCCCGCACACCGCCACGGACCCTCCGCGTCCCTCCTGCGACCGCAGCACGGGGCGGAGGCGCCGGCGGTTGCGGCCCAGGTGGGGGCGGCGGTGACGGTTGGGCGCAGGCCGGCGCGGCCCGGCGGGCAGTTGGGTGTTTACCTTGATGCACCGCGACGCTGCAGCCGTGCCCGTCGCAATAAACCAGCGGGTTCTCGGCCCAGCCTCTCTCGTCTGAGCAAACGCAACAGCCTCCAATCATCTCCTTCATACTATGGGAGACCTCGTCCTCCAGTGACACGGGCCGGTCGCTAGAGACCATCTAAGAGGGAGTTGGGGGGGACCATTAAAAAACACATGCAAGCCGATTAGTGCTTCCCCCCGCACAGCCCCCCGCGCCCGCCCCGGCGCCCGCAGCCCGGCCGCCCACCCCTCGCTCACTCGGGCTTTGCTGCTCAGTCACTCACGTTCCGCACAGGAGTCAGGAGCCATGTCCTTGCTGATTCCCCCCACCTCCCCTCCACCGCCTCCTCCGCCTCCTCCTCCTCGGCGTCTTCCCTCCCCACCTCCACCCGACCGCTAACGCGGACGCTCGGAGAGGGCACTCATAATCAAGTAGGCCTCCGCACAGGCGCACTGGGGGGGCTCCCGCTGGGCCACGGGCAGAGAGGGAGGGGAAGGGGGCTGCGCTTCCTTCTCCGAGCGTCACTCGGCGTGCGCGCCCGCCCTGCGGCCGGCGTGAGGGAGGAGGCCCGGGCGAGACGAGCCCTGCGTGCGCGCCGCCGCGGCCGGCCGGCGCCTCCAGCCTATCTCCGGGGCCCCGTCCCTCCCCCGCGCTGCTCGCCGCAGCCGCGGTGTGCTGGGGGTGGGCGCGAGGGGAACCTGCGGCGCGCGGAGGCTGAAATGAGCCGACGCGAGGGCGCGGGGGCGCGCACGCGGGGGTGGGGACGTTGGGGCCGCCCTCTGCAGCGCCGGTGGCTGGGGCCGCGTGTGTGCGTCGGGAAGAGGCCTGGGAGGCGGCCCGGGAGGCGGACGCCCAGGGCGAGGAAGGGGTTTTCTCAGTCTCCCAAAGAGACTCCCCGGGGGCATCATCTCCCTGCCCTGGGAACCTACCTGCCGGCCTTTTCCTCCAGGACTAGCCCTTGGGTAACGAGGGTGGGGCGAGTGTGCCAGCTCCCATGAAGGGTGTAATGAAGCATGGCTCCCTGCAGTTGGCCGCGCTAACTTAACAGTGCTGCCGCAGCCTCTCCGCCCATTAAATTCACGTCCTGGACTCTTCCCAAAGTTCATCCGCTGGAAGTGCTACCAAATCTGACGCCCATTTACGCACTACATGGGCCCCAGTGACAAACGAAACTACATCACAGGCTGAAGGTCAAAAGCCCGGGTTAGGGCTGCACTCCGAGAGGGAACACCAAGGCTCCCCTCAGCTCGCTGTGCAAGACAAATGGTTGTTTATCAGGAATTAGCAATATAATGTGATGATCTGGAAACTGCAGTTGTACTGCACCAAAAGGAAGAAGGAACTCTATCCCTCCTAGTCAGTTGCTAAAAGATAACACCATCAGACAGTGGCGTCTAGTTTTGATGGAGGATTCCTCTGATCCGGTCTTTTCTCCAACTTTATACTTGGAAATGTGAGGTCATTTAAAAGTGGCAGAAAGATGAGAGCTCCCACGTCACAAACAAATAGAAAATGGATTAGGCCTATCTGCATAGATTAATTAGCTGGATACTAAGCAGTTTTAAACTGTAAAATCTTCCATTGTCGCCCCATTATGCATCCATATAAGCCCAATATTGATGTTTAAGCAAAAAATGTCTAATTAGAAAAGTTTAACATGAAATCAGAATTATGTATAGATTGTTTAAATGACAAGCCCAGTTAAAAGGCGAATTCATGGCTTTTGATACCTTGCAGGTACAAAATGGTTGTTTACCAGGAATTCCCAGTATAAATGTGCTAATCTGGAAGATGCACTTTCACAATGCTAAAGCATAGAGAATCCCAGTTCTCCTAGTCGGCCACCAAAAGATAATATAATGGTTTGGGCTTTAAAAGGTTTCTAAATGTTCTTCTGATAAAGAGGGGAAGAAAAGGTAGCATAGCTGTTTTTCCATTTCAAATTAATTGCTAGAAATCTGTTTAAGACTGATAATATGTATACAGCACAATCAAAGCTTATATAGCAAATAAATTCCGATGTTTTAAAAGCTGAGATATACAAAGTAATGGCAATTAAAATGTACACTAAAACACAATGAGAATTCACAGTACATTTAGAAAAGGTGACTACAAGACTACATAATGCAAATTCTTTTTTGGGATGTGACAACAATACATTTCTGGACATATAATAATTATATTTTTAAACTATCTTAATTTATAAAACTAAAACGTCCTTTAAACAAAACTATACTGTTTTGTGTATCTTAGTTATATATTTTATCTTCAGTCTTATACAAAAGATACCAGTTCAATATCCAAGTCCTCTTCCGACTCTTATTATAGAGCAATTTTGAGTTAAAAATCAATGTAAAACTTCCCCTCCCAAACACTGCAACCAAGCATTAATGCACTAAATTATTTAAAAATACATTTGTTTTATTTTTAATGCATTGGAGCTTAGTTCTTGTGAAAGAATTAATTGACATGTAAAGAAGGATAGGCACCTTACCCTATTCTTTAACACTTAAATGTAAGTAAACACTTGCTATTTCCTAAACAAAACAAAAACAATTCATCATTTGTAAGAGGATTCAGAAATTTTTAAAAACAGGGAAAATATACTATTTCATAATAGGCCTGTATATAAATAATAATATTTAAAACAAATTTTGTTAAAGATGTATACATAAGTGTTCACAAATTATAATTCAATTATATAAAATTGATTTTAAGATATATTGATGAAAATCATAAGAGAAAACATTAGTGTAAATAACTCATTTTCATTTTAACTCATGAACCAGATATCAAACTTTTTCTTATATATCTGAAGTATAATATTTAGTATATTTCTATAAAATGTTAAGTGAAAAGGAAGAAAAGCAGACAGTATGAAATGGTAAAACAGTTCAAAAATGAAGTTAATGATTTATTCATTCATTCAGTATTTATTGAATATTTACTGTGTACTGGGAGCTCTTTTGGATATAGGGAATATGGCAATGAGAAGGTTGTATTTGTCCTGAGACTTATATATATATATATAGTGTCACATATGCAATAATTGGCTGAATATGCTAATTTTCCTACCTCAGAATGGATAAAACTTATAATTACATTGGCAGAATTGTTAAAGTTCAAGTATGCTTTTAAAAATACATAGTAATATAAAAATAAATTACCATAGGATTTATAAAATAACTTTGTGAAAAAGAACAATTTCATTCATAAAATTATGTTACCCTAAAATCTGATTTCATATTCTCAAAATATCTTTCACAGAAGTATATGTAGTACCTCTAGGATAAAACAAAACCCTGTTTTCTCTAAATATTGCTTCATATAACAGCAGCCAACTCAGTACTAGCTCATCTGTTTCTCCAAACTAATCATCTGAGGTAAACCACAAAAATCTCAAGTAAAATATTTTATGATGTAACCTTTAACCCTACTATAATGGGAAGATGTATTTTTGCTCTATGGGTAATATATCTTCCAATAATTTTCTTTATTCTTTAATGTAGGCACCAAATTTCTGTATTTGCTTTTCCATAATTATTTACATAAGTAGATACTATGAAAGCAATATTTAAAACCATATTCAGTTCAGAGGTTAGTACTATTCATATTTATCTCCTTTTTAAATTAAAGTTTTATTTGCCTTCTGTTTGTGCATATCATATTTAATCTGTTATACCCATTGTCAAGGTATATATACTTCTACAATGGGGTATAGAAACTGAAGTCTATTTCTACAAGAGGTTTATTTGTGTAATGCTGGGACTAGGTACATTTTCCTGAACTCAAATTCTTGACTTCCATAGTGTATAAAATTCTATATTGGCTCTGCAACTAAGTTTTTTAAACAAAAAGCAATTAGAATTCCTGCATCTGCTAAACCTCACTGGAGTCTATAATCTTGTTTCTAAATAAATTAGTTGGAAAACTCAAAACGACACTCTCTTATGATCTGTGCAGACTTTCAGATATATCCTCTTTTACATAAAGGAATCTCTGTTTTTTGTTTTGCTCGCTTGGTACCCAAGAGTTTTTACCTTTTACGTTAAAAGTTTATTATGAGCCATATACTTATGCTACTATGATTAAAATACTGAAGTATTTCTGAAACTAGCTTTGCTATTTATGTCACCATAAATCAATATTGTATCTTTATACATGCAAAACCACCATGGCACCTATATCATGGAGTACTATTTGAAATTTCATATGAAAGTATTCTTTGCAATAATGTTTTGAATTGAAATTGTTTATGGCTTTTTCAATAATCTATTTAATTAAACTTGTTAATCTTACTAGGTGATTATTTTTTACTCACTATCACACCTAGCAAGTGTCTTACACGTAGTAGGTCCACAGTAAATCTGTGTTTAGTGTCCTAAATTGGTGTTTAAAAGCTAATTACTCTCTGAGCTTTATTCTTCAAAGTAAAGCAAGATTGTATTTTGTATATACAATTGAACTAAAATTTCTAAGTAATGATTAACAAAAATGTTCAGATGAATTGGTTTCTCTGAAGATTTTCAATAGTTGAAATTTTTATCAGTTTTTATTTACCAGGTAGTTTAGAATTGACTATTCTAAATAGCCCTCAAATGTGTACCATCTTTGCATGTAATAGTCATCATTTTTTACAAAACAGGCTCCAACTTAGAATCAATCATAATTAATATTGTTGTTAGATACACTTGATTTTTTTTAAGCTTGGTAGGTAATTCTGAAATTGAAATCGTGTGTAATCTAAATAAAAAATCTTAAGATTCAAGGTTTAATATTTAAAATGTTTGGTTTGGTTAATGGTGTTTGGCTTCAGAGGTATTTCTTTTCTATAAAACTGATAATGATTGGCTGTATTTACATTTTTTGAGTAAAACACCATGTAATTATCAATGAAAAAATACTATCTAAAAGATGCCTTTAGGTATTCTAGGTGTTACATAAACCTCTTAACGATTCAGAGTTGAACTATTTTTTCCATGATACAGCAATACTGAAAGGTGTTATACTTTGACTTTTCAGAGTATCATCAATACAGTGTAAGAGTGGTATTGTAAGGTCCATGTTCTCATTTTTTATTGATACTGAAGATCTGCATCTCTGTTATAATTAAAGTGTGATTAAAGAGACATATTTAGGTGTCTGTTTATAGGCTACAATAAGATTATCTAAGTGAAAAGATTCTGAACGTGGAAAAGAGGAAAATCAATTTTGAAATGGAAGAGAACCTTGAAAGAAATGCAACATATCTTAGACTGAGAAAAAAATATACTGAATTTATAAATACTATTTGGACCAAAGAACATCACTTTTTAAGATTTAAATGTTTTCCTCTCCAAAAGGGGCCACTGCTTACCAAATCCAGAAACAAGCCCAAGAATATGTTAATTAGTGCATTGTGTCCCAGAAAGAATGAGGCTGACAAATTCATTTTTTATTCCTTCGATTAATAAACTGTTTGTCTAGTACATCTTAGATTTTTAAAATCTATAATCTGCATATTTACCTCTTGAAACTGTAAAGTAACAGTGCCAAGGACCAACATGACCCCATAGGGTGACTCTTATGAAGCTTAAAATTCCTGGCGAATTTAAACACACAAGCCTCGGATCACTTTTTGTCAGCCTTATTTTACTGTGGCGCTTGAGAGCCAGAAGGTAGGTAATTTTTATATGGTGGCACTTTACCCCAATTAAAAAAGCAATGGCGTTGGTGCAAGCAGAAGTGGAAAATATAATGGTATAAAATTAAAGAAAGGTATCACAAAGACTGACCAAGAATGCTACTTGTCCCTCTCCATCCCCACCCCCATTCATGCCCTTTTTCCTCCATTTGTTGTTTTTCTCACAAGAATATCATGACTTCTAAGAATATTTTTACTTTAAATGAAACAAAAAATGTCTGAAACAGTGAATGATGTAAAACGATTGACCTACTATCAACTACATAACATATAAACATGAAGCTATTCTAAATATTCAAAGACATAAATAAAAAATGTAAATTGAGGGGAACTGTGGTAGGATGAGTGTGAAACGAATGAATAGACTGAAAATACTTGATTTTCAACACCGATTTTTTTTTCTGTTCAAACCTTTTCATAGTTACACCTCAAATGATTTCTTAAATAAAAATTTCTCCCTATACCTCGAAATAACTGAATGACTTCCATGAGGAAATGCAAGTTTAGAAAGAAGACCCGCAAAATGAAAGTGTTAAAATGCAA